CCCCACCTTCCTATCAGCATCATATTTGATCATAACTTCTCTTCCCCTGAGTAGTTTTCCTGTTCCCACAGGCTCAGATCAGTGGTAAAGTTTGCCTTTAAAAGTCACTTCACTTACCTTGTCTCTGGATTATAGCCCAGTATGTAGAAAAATGAATCCACTCGGGCTTTAAACTCTCTAGCAGCAAATATGTCAGAGAAATGGGAGATATTACACTTCCCCCTGAAAGAAAGAGGGGAAAATGGTATTAGAATTCTATCTTGAATAACAGCTATTTTAATTAAGTGCCACTGCAATCTGTGCACAAGCCACAGACATCCTTGTGTTCTCATAAATGTCTAAGACTTCATAAACATAAGCTTGTTGTAACAAATAACCACATAGATTCTTCCCATTGTGAAAAGGGAAGAAAATTCAGTTACAGCGTCTCAGATGGTATTCTACAAACATTCAATAATTCTCATTTAGCCAGCACACAGTTCTGAGGAGCCCAAATTCAATCAGACTAATGAACAATATCTCCTCTAGAAATACAATCCTGAAAAGATCTTACATTCTAAGTTTTTACAGTCCCATCACACATCTTTAAGGAAGCTTCAAAAAGTCTACTATCCATATTATTTGGGAAGTCATCTTTTTATTTAGAAAGCTAAATAAAAATTCAGTTTAATAAGAAATAAAAAGCAAAGCTCTGCTGGTTTTAGCAAGACTGCAATTCTAACAATGCAAATTTCAAACACAGAAAAGTTTCATCTTTCTTTCATACATGAGAGAAACACAGACATTAAAAAAGAGAAAAAAGAGAAAAGAGGATTTATTAGCTTGTTCTACAACAGATTGTTAATATTATTTTAATATGGTTTGTTGATGAAGTCATTATCCTTAAGGATGAGCATGAAGAATAGCTGGAAGAAGTTGCACCTCATTTCTTCAAGGTTTGTCGGACTGTTAATGTTCAACAGCTGCTCGTGTTTTGTCAGTCAATGCATCGCAGTTTGCTGCCACCAAGTAAATCACATCAGAGCAGGCAGAGAAAAACGGGCCAGACAGCCACAGAGTTAGTGCTTTCTATCTAATCCCCAGTCAATGCAATAAACAAAGCACAAGATTTTGCTCTTTTTCAGTATGTCAAGCTTTCTAGCATTAACACAGATAGCATCTCTTTTCACTTGTATTTACTGAATACTATTTGCTATTATAAATAATCTGCTATGGGGCTTATTTAACATTGCAAAAAGGTTTGCCAGTCTTGGTTAGAATTGAATGAGAAATGCTATTGGGACCAGTACACCAAGATTAATAATTATTTTGCCTGTAATAATACTGGATCTGTTTGCCCAGTCAGCTAGCCTCTAGCCAAGAAGCAGAGCTTAAAAGCACTGCATACTTCAAAAACTGCACTACAAAACTGGAATACTAAGCTTGCTTCCCTTCCTAATCTTTTCATGGCAAAGCTCTTCAAAAAGGCTTACCAACCAACAGCCACTAAAATCTCTGCCTTGGAACATGAGCTCTTCACACAACACCCACTACTACAGGTGAGGAAATAACACAGCAGAAGGATGAATCAAGTTGCTTGCCTGCAAAGCAAAATCAATACGGCTACCCTGCGAACTGAGGCTGCATAATTGTCCCTATGATTGCCTAATTCTCAGTCAATTGCCTTTCTGGCAAAGGACAAAGCAACACTGGATTTTGCACAGGTCATGCCAGGTTGTAATGGAACATTAAGGCAGCCCATAATTGAGATGTCACACAGAAATACTGAAAGACAAACTTCTTCACTAATATTTATTTTATCCCTGGCGGCTGAAGCTTGTTTCCTTGTTTAGTCATTTAGAAAGAAAAAAAATGAGAAGGGGTATTTGTTTTGGTATTTCACATTAAATTCACATTTTAAAAGTATTTTGGGGAAAAATATCCAGATTTCTTTCAATAATTCATCTGACAGTTAATAAGCAATTTCTAGATAAGCTTGTATTATCTATATTCATGAAAGCCATACATCTTGTTCATAGCATTTCAGACAAGTAGTACTACACATTACCACAAAGATTTACCATATAGGTAAAAAGGACATAACTCATTACACACTTCCATAGAGACCTACAAGTATCCTCTCGTTAATTTTTTCCACTGGTTAGAGCAGAAGATTGCTAGTTACAATCACTGGTTTTATTTCCCAGTCTGTCATCAATTCATTGTGTGACCAGAGTAATTTGTTTGCACAGAGCAGAGAAATAATCTCATATTGCAATAAATTAGAATTTCGTGTTAACCCCATTTTCATGCATCACAATACATTCGGCCTACTCTATGTTCTCAAAGGGCACAAACACCATGTGCCATTATCCTTATGTTACTCTTGTACACCAAAAATTACATGTATTAATCACAATTTGCTGGAAAAGCATCAGCAAAAACCATAATCTTTATCCTGCAAAAGTACATTCTCTGAATTATCAGCCTCTTTAGATACTATCTACAGGCCTGTAAGAATTATCAAAAGTATGAACAACCCAGAACGCAACAAAACAACAGTGAAACCAAGAGAAACAAGAGAGAGATCTGAAAGGTGCCCATGGTACACACTTCCATACAAAAAGGCAGCAGATAAAACACAAGACAGGTTGAGGAAGTGACCAGTTTGGTCTTTCAGCAGCCTCCACTTTTTTGGAAGGGGAGAAGAGAAGGTTATTTTTCAAGTTTGCTTGTTATACACATATATTCCATTTTTATCTTTTCTTTAAGGAGAAGCTAAACTACTGCCAGGGAAAATTCCACACACATAGTTCAGTTTCTCTCTGTTTAAGCAGACAGTTAGATTGCCAAGATTGGTTCCAGAAAGACAGCCAACCTCCTGCTAGCTTGTTTCTAAGCACGCCAATTTAAAATTGGAAGGCAACCGTCTAAAAGGCACTGTGGAATTTCATGATATTATAGTACACCACTGGAATTCTCTGAGTTTATAAAAAAAGTCTAATATATAAATCAAAGACTTCTTCCCACCCTTATAACAGAAGTTGCAGCTAGTTTGTCTTGAAGTAAGTGGCTTCAGCAAAGTGACTCTGAACAAAAAAAAAAATGTCTCCAGATGGTTCTAGTGAAACACCATCTGAACATTATTATCAGGGAGATTATTCAATTTGCATTTTGACAATATCCATGCACGTTTGGCATGTCGAAAATCTACTGAAAAAGAATGCCTTGCTGTTTCTATTTGAAAACATGTTTTAAGCAATGGTGTATCCCCCTCAGCCCAGTCAAAGGTTAGGCACTTAAGTTAGAAAGTTAGTGGTAAAGAGAGCAGCAGCCTCTGCAGGGAAGGGCAGACAGCACAGAGAACAATACAGGGGTCCATTACCTCCTGTCTACACAGCTCGTTTTTAATGGAGCTCTTAGCTGAGCTGCAACAATGACAAGTGCCTCCGAGCAAAAAGCCTTTAACGCAATTTAATCAGGGCAACACACTAACAGTCACTTTACTAGCAGACGTTATTGTTAATAGTGAAATCAAACACGGAGGAGGGAAGGCGAGTATTTCTGCGGGAAGCAGCAATAACCTAAATTGGCAACGATGGGAAACCAAAATCTGAGCAACATTGATTAACGGAGATTGAAACGAGATTGTAGAATTAAAGTTCCTTTTTGAATGAGAACAGATATCACAAGTTAATTACTGCAGGAGATGAGGAGAAAACTGAGCAGTACTTACACACACACCAAAAAAACCCAAAACCCCACCCAACAGAAAAAGCACCTCTCAATAAGGTTTTTCTCACCCACCTCTGAGACACTGCACCACATCCTCTGTGACTCACCTGAGGGCAGCAGCGTGGTAAGTGTCAACATAATCTGAAATGAAGAGCTCTCGATTCTTGATAACTGGGTCTGTAATAACAAGCTCTCGTCCAGAGTCTGCCAGAAAGAAAAAACACAAATTAAAAAAACATCCAACACATGAGCTGTGGTCTGAAAGCATCTACCATTGCCATTTCTGCAGGTATTTGTTATGGGTCAAACTTTGAGGCTGTTTCTTAGATACACACTCCTCAGCGTTAGGATGACAAACATTCTGATTGTTTACATGGCCTGTGAGGTATGGAAATAACACAACACCCATTTGTACACATTAATTCTCTCTTGCCATATCTAAAGAACTGCTGAAGGGAAACAGATGTTAGGGGTACTGGGTGACACATCTGATTGACTGACCAGTAGAAGCAGTCACTCCTAGGTGCAATGAACTAGGCAAATTATTTTATCACTGACTTTTGGCTTCTGGCTTAAGGTTTTGGTTGTTTTGCATATTTAATCTCAAATCTTGACAGTACTAACTGCCTAGTGCTTTGGGTTTGAGATAAATATTGATATTCACATTCAAATACAGAAAATCCTCAGTGTTAACAAAAAACTGGAAGACAACTTTGTCTATGACTTGCTTTACAATACCTTTGAAGAACACACTAAAATACTTCTTCACATGCACAAGTGTGACCTAAAAAAGCAGCCATGTTACCAAAAACGCTCACTTTTTGACACTGTGCCTATAATCCCATTGTTAGAAGTTTCAAAACTATTAGTAAGAGAAATGTTAGATTTGTGCAGCTTTTGCTAAAAGCACACGCAAGATGTCCTTAAGGCCTGCAAAAAGGAGACTGTAATGCTCAACTTTGTACTGTCATGCACCAAAAAGTTGCTGTGTTCTATTATTTCAAGCATCAACTTTTATCATTAGAATTCACCTTGGAGTATCTTCAGAATTTTAACAGTTGCCTCAAGGAAATTTCCTGGTAAGAACAGAAGCAAATGTTATGTCTCCCCTAGAGACAAGAGATAAAGGGCATCGGAATGTGTTCTTCTGCTTCTATTAAACCCAAGATCACACTTGTTTTTGCAAAGAGATAAGGGGGGGAACTCAGCTATGAGTGCTTCAGTTACACCACTTACTGCAACATTAATCACAGTGAGTATTCATACTCGCAAGGTAGTAGGAATGTAAAAATGCAGTTCTCATGACACTACAGCAGTAACACACAAAAAATCGAAGATATCCACAATTTTTTCAGAGAACTTGGTCTTCAGTCAGTTAGGTATTAGTACACTGTCCAGAAGGCCTACAAAGGACCCAGTGTTATTTTTCCTCTCTACTCCCTCTTAAGGCATTAGTATAGTACAGCACAGTTAAAACCATACCTGAAATGCATCTGCTTATAGTTATGGTTACAAGACATACACTAGTTAGAACAAACAAGGCAGGTAAGAAACTATCATCCATCTTCTAATATATTGTTTTCATCAACACTCTTGGCTTCATATCCCTATACAAAAGTGTTCTTGCTTTCTGGACTGTGAAAACTTAAAATTCAGAGTACAAGTAAAGAAAGCCTTACTCTACAGAGCCTAACTTACCATTCTCATTGTGTCTGTCCTGAACCAAATGCTGATAGACTGAATCTGGGACTTCAGACTGGCGATAGTACCATTTGACATTCATAAGGAGATGGTCCCGTTTACTCTGAAAAAGAAGGTCTAAAGGCATTACTAAAAAGGAAATCAGACCACATCTGACACAATGTTCTAAAGTATAAAATTTGTTTTCACACTGAAGAAAACCTGAGGCAAGACCCAAAAGGGGGGAAAATATGTTTCTATGACAGTGAAACAAGGGCAATGTGCTAACGATCGACTTTCAAACTAGACAAAGGCAACAAGAACCTACTGCATCATCATGCAGCTGTATCTCTATATATCTGACCATCACATACTACTTACTGTATTCATGCACAAAAATACTAACCTAAGAAAAGAAGAGGCAGGGATCAGAAAAAGACTGGAATTTTTGGCCTCATGCAGCATGATCTTAGTCTGCTAATTTCTACAAACAAAAACTATTTATGGCCAAACACAGGGGAAAAAAAAAGAATACCAACAGCGATATAATTCAATGCAACCATTCTTAACAGCTGTAACCAGAGATACCAGATTTTTTTTTCCTCAAGGACAGATGGATTCAGACATAATCATAGAGGTTCTTTATTGCACTCCTTTACACAAAGGAATAGGATGCTGCACTGCAATACCGATAATTACAGGCTGACTGCTCACGCACCTCGCAAAACCAACAGCAAAATTTACACAACACTCTCTTGCTCAAGTGTTCCTTTTTGATGTGAAAATCCAGTTATTAGTTTACTCCTTCTTACAAAGGGACTGAGGCATAAACACCACTTAAAGAGAATTTTTAGATCAAGTTATTACAGACTCTCTGCTTCCGTTTATCTTTGAAACCCTTGGTAGCCAATTCTTTCTACTGCTCCAAAACACTTGAAGAAACAGAGGAAGGCCTACAGGGAAATTAGGATTCTTTTGGCATGAGGTAACTGCAAGCACCACTTGTTTGTTCTGGACTGTAGTTCTCTAGACCCTTCTAAGACTGCTCTTAAAACATTTACATTTACAAGATAAATCACAGATTACTGGAGCAGAAAGTTCTTATCTCTCCTGTTCACATCAGCCTGGTTGTTACAGCAATTTCCACCCTTTCTGCTTAATAAACAACGTCAAAAATCTTTCCATTAAATGCACTTCTGGAAGCTGTTGATTCAAAGCACATGTAATAGCACCAAAAAAGCTGCTAGTGGCAGCATTGTGCCAGAAAAAAGTTTGTTAACTAATGCACCACTACCACATGTGCTCTGGGTACTGAATGCCTCAAGAAACATTCAACATACTGAGCATATTTGGACTGTACAGGAAGTTACCTCTTAAAAAAAAAACCAAATCAAAACAAAAAACCCCTCCACTTTTGCAATCAAATACAACAAGCTTGTCTAATGCATTTATAAAGATCAAAAGGACAAAGTCAGAGGCAACACTGCTTTCTGCTGCCTGCTGTTCAAAAAAGGTGGCTGCAGACTTTTCTGTTCTCCTGAAAAGCTGCGTGCATCAGTTTTTATCAATAGTCTCTGAATTCTGAACACAAGAAAAAAGTGAGTACATGTTTTGTTACCCTCTTGCTAAGAGTTCATAAATTCTATCAGGGCTAACAAGAACTGCGTGCAATAATGATGGGAAACATTAACCCAGCATTTCTCTGCAAATTCTCTTTGCATTTCTTAGTGGAGAGGGAAAAGCACCTCTCGTGTGTTACATGAAGCCCTGAGAGCACGCTCAGAAAGCATCACCGTGGCACTAAAACTACTCACTTCTATGCACAGACAGTTTGTAACGAGCATCAAAAGCCAATGCTTCAATTTTCTTGGTTTGTCCCATTGAAGTCAGATAGTACAACACTCCAAAGTGCACTGTGGAGGTGACATAACTACATACAGATATATATATACACACACACACATATATATATACACACACATATAGGTGTGCAACCACAAAGGAGGACTACAAAATACAGTATAGAATGTTGGTGGTGGCATTTTGGAATACCAAATTACATTATTGAGGGAGAAGGACTAGAAATCTACACTCAGCTGTGCCAGTGCTTACAAACGCTTATCTGCAAACCAAATCATCAAAAAGTCTGTACAACAACCAGTAGCCAATGGTGAGACCTGAGAAAAGGAAACAAATTACTTCATCTAGGTTAAAAATAATAAATAAATACATAAATAAATAAATAAATAAATAAGAGCTAGTGAGGGAGAGGACAAAGGTAGCAAATGAAGAATGAACAGGAAACAAATTACTTCATCTCGGTCAAAAATAGAAAAATAAAAAATAAATAAAAAATAAATTTAAAAAAAACAAGCTAGTGAGGGGGAGGACAAAGGTAGCAAATGAAGAATGAACAGACAGAACCCCCTCTGTAACCCTTACAGTGATTCTGCTACGAGGGGACATTTCTGCAGAAGGAACTCTGAAATGTCCAAATCTGTGCGAAGGTCCATCCTTTACACACATACACATTGAGATTAGATTACAATAAAACAGGAGAGATACAAACTGCCAAATGTTTTCATTGCTTTGGAATCACAGAGCTGCGAGTTGGGAGGTCGCAGCTTTAGTCTGAGTTTGTAGAGGAGATGGTGATGCAATCACTGCCCTGTCTCAGTTTCCTATTCTATGATAGAACAGCACAGGGCTGGGGGTGAGGCCAAGGTCAACACTTACAAAGCATTCTGATATAGAAGGAATTAGTGGTTGGAAGTGAGGTTTTTCCACTTGCTGCCATAAGAAACCATCTCCTTTTCTCCCCTCCTCCCAAAAGACCCTCCCAGTTTGTCATCAGTCAATGCAAAGAAAAGGTTTTGCTTATTGCTCCATCTCCTGTAAGCTTCACTGCAAACATCCAAATTCCCCAATACACATTAAAAAACTGGAATAGCAGAGGATTACACGAGAGTTTATTAGGAATATTCACACATTAACACACAATGAAGGCAGGAGAAGTATTTACTGTGTTTTGTAGGATTTTATCCCATACTTAAGACTGACATAACCCCTACATACAGTCCAGAGCTTTTCCCTAGTTCAAGTATTTTAATCTGATGGGAAGTTACTCATTTTCCAACTTGAAACTTTGTTCTCAGACTCACAGAAGGCTTCGGTTGTTCCCTTCACTGTGTTTTACTCCGGAGGTTAGCAGCTGCTCTGCACACTGAAAGAGAACAGCAGTTCCTCCCCTGAAATCAGATTCATGATCAGGAAGAACATGGGGAATGAGATTGAATTTCAGGAGGCTGGCTGAATCGAAGAAGTTTTCAGGGAAATGATGAATTGCCCTACACTGCAACCTGCCAACAGGAATGGTATTGACTTCTTCAGGCTGATCATGTAGTTGTGAGGCATTGTCAGAGGTGAACATTACAAAGAAAAAGAAATTACAGGGCTTTTCATACACAGAAAAGTGGCTTTTCTTTCATTACACTTTCAGAAACAAAAATAATGTATCTTCAGAAATCATGTAGAAAAAAGATGAAGGTAGAATCAGAACCAAAACAGATAACAAAAACAACAGACAATCAATATAAATGGTGTATTGGACTAGATGATCTCCTGAGGTCCCTTCCAACCCCTACAATCCTGTGTCTAAGCACAGATTTGAAGCCATGGCATACACCAAATTTCTCTGCTTTTAACTTCTAAAAGCTGAATTTGATGAAATAGGCTTTTTAAATGAATTATAAATGACAGGAGAAGATTAACATGGCCGATATACATATCTCTATAAATTATCAGACTCATTATATATCTTTCAAAATGGAAAGCAGCACATGCCCCAGACAATGCTGACTGCTCTTCATCAGGTGGTGGGTTGTTTGGTTTGGGTTTCGGTTTGTGGTGGGATAAGGTGGTGTTTTTGTTTGTTGGTGGGCTTGTTTGGGGGGTTTTTTTGGGGGGGGGAGGGTTATCTGATCTCCTTTCTAAATATCTCTTTTTACCATGACTGCTGCTTTTTGTCCAATTAATTTAAAAGCTTCATCTTCAAAAGTATTTTCTGTATCTACTCTGCAACATGCATGATTGTGGGTTTTAACCTGAAGTTTCAATCGTCTGTCAGAATCTCATTTTTCACATTTACATCTTTGCACAGAAGTTCCTAGACGTGCTATTTTGTCAGACAACTTTCTAAATATGTATGTCATTACAGAGCAGACTCTACTCAGAGGTGTCAAGACACCAACTTCTGTGGTAGTCTATGTATTTTAGAACCATGTGCACACAAAAGAAATGTCCCCTAGTTCATAAAGTGTTACTTTTATATTTTTTACTCCTTTACATATGAAAAGCTGCAGATAGTCACATGACAAATCACAGTAAAGGCAAGTGCTTTGAAGTGTCTTTCTGTCAGCTCAAAAAGATTCCCTGTGCTACAAACCTCCATTCTCCCCTTAAATTAAAATATCATCTATTGCTACAGTACTCAAAAAGTACTCTTCGGGGGGTTTTGTTGTTGCTGTTTTGGTTTTTGTTCCTTTTAAAAAAAAAAAAACAAACACGAATCAGTTTTGAACATTCCACAAGAATTAGATAAAATCTGTAAGTGGATTAAGCGTCCCAGTTTACATGCATCTGGTCAACCAGTATTTAAAAATGAGCCTCTCCCTTAAAAGGGAAAAAATTAATCTTGCAGGTTCTGTTTAAAAGTGTGAATTTCCACAGCATTTGTGACAATTTCAAGGTGCCAGTTTTCTTGTAGAACACACTTGAAAATGGAGTTATTGCACATTACAGTTCTTACCTTAAGAGATTCCGCATTCTCTTCCCAGGGTTATGACTAACCAAATCGTGCAAATGATCACAGATGTCCTGCAGATTCTCTCAGAGGATTTAAGCAGTATCCTTCATTACTTGCCCTATTTAGATACCACGTTAAATCACAACTAGCTTTGGAAACAATATACCAAATGCTGGAGATGACAGATGGGCACGCTGGAGTCAGCGAATAGCAGCTATGCCAAAGAAACAAACAGCAAAATAGAAACAAGGACAAGAACATCTTTCCTTTCAAAGACTTTCAACAATGACTTTTTTTTCTATCACACACACAAAAAAAATCATGTTATCAATTCCAAGCTACCAAA